GATGTCTATGGAGAAGTACAACATTACGGCTTCATCCAAGGCCTGTCTTTCATGTGCCTGTGTCAGAGGACACCTGCAATATGAAGCAAGACCAGAACGGTCCCAAAATTAAGGGACAAAGAAAAAGGGACTGCAGAAGAGTCTGTCATGATCTCTATTATGGTTGCTGACTTTCATGTATGCAGAGAAATACACGCGTAATTCAGATGGCTTGTCAAGGGAAATATGATTGAATTATCTCTATAGCCCAGCTGAAAGGTGAAATGATGAGCAACCTGGAATTAAATTAAAAACCTAAACCCATTAAAGTATTCAGATTTCCCAGTCCAAGATAAAAGTGAAAACCTTTGAAATTAAGCAGTCTTCCTACCCTTATCTCAAGCTGAAGACGCTGCTGCTTTGGATAACACAAAGGAAGCCAGACTGGATTATTGCTCATTTGAACACTGGTTTTCAAATGCACCACATTTTCCTCAAGAAATGAACGTTATTCATTTCAGCTTATGCTGGATATCAAAGTAGCTGTAGAAAAGGACACAAAATAAATTACCAGGCATCCTTTGATCCCAACACACTGCACTGCTTCCCCACTCCAGAGAACAATGAGAAGGGACCAAATCTCTTCCTCATTCTCAGCACAGCGCTGCATATCCTGAGTCTTTCAAAGCTCATTCCTTTTCTGAAGAATGTCTTTATTCATAAGTCAATAAATTTGAAATTCTGCATAAGATTTCCTCAAATGCAGGTTTTCTCACATGATCTCTCCCTTGCCTTCAGCAGCATTCCTCTTAAAATATAATTCCCAAGACCCACCTTGTCTGGCTGAAAGAGATGAACACATCCCTCCCTTTGAGCAATCAAACTCTGTTCATCCATCCCATCACAATGAAGTATGTTGCTGTACAGAAGTATTCCATTCTTATATGCAGTATAAACAAGAAAATAAAAATGATTTTCTGTTTAAACTGTTTTTTATGTTGGGGCAGTTACACTTTTGCTGCATCTGAAATGAATTCTTGCCTGCTTTCACAAGGGCAACACCATACTGAATCATAGCCTGCTGACTTAAAAAAAAATGGAAAACCATGTGATAAACTGCATTATCTCACAAAGTCATATTCCACATAGAGTCAAAAGGGATCAAAATTGAACTCCTTAAATACAACAATAAAAAGTCCTTCACATATAACAAAGTGAGACCAGTTCTCCTCTATTTTTTGTTCATGTAATGCACCCCCATCACTTTCATTATGCCTATTTGCTCTCCAAGTGTACAAACACTTCAGGGCAGGCATTCTTTCTTTGAAATTTGCATGGCACCAGAATAATGAAGCCCCAGTCCTAACAAGGGTCAGTGGAAACAACAGGAGCAGAAATATTTACTGCTGCTACTGCTGTTACATTATTGGGAAAAAAAAAATAGCATTTTGCAGTTGTATTTTGGATACGTTGAAAATCAAAGGCAAGCTGTTTCATAGCCCCAGGTCCCTTCTGTCCCCACAATGGAACCAACTCCATCCTGGAGTGACCAAAGAAGGAGCAACAGCAAACTTCTCTGACATGAGCTGTACCAAGGGACATAAAATCATCAGAAGGAAGCTAAGGGAAGAAATAATTATTATCAAGCTTTTACAGTCAGACTTTTCCAATAATATTTGTAAATCACTTAGAAAATCTTCAGTGGAGGAAAGTTATTATTGTGCTAAGGCACAATACTTTTTACTCCTCAAGCACTTGCCTATATGCCAGATAGCAATTTATATATCAATGGAGATTCCCCCAGTAAACATTTTTTAAAATTAAACATAAAGCCTTTGTAATGGTATTACTCTTTCCATCATCAAAATATTATGCTGGTGTAGTTAAATTTTCCCATAGCCTTAGGTTTTGGTTCTCCAGAATTAAGTATTCCATTTCAAATCCGCATATGGTATTTCAGTGATTTACACCTCATCTAATTTTGCTAGACGTCAGAAGCCCTTTTAATGAGTGCTTGGAGGGTTTCATTCCATTATAGTTCTGGAGAAGCTGATGCTGCATTTTCTTTCAAATTCAAAAATTTAGCTTGGCTGACATCCAGCTTGCAATCAAATAATAATGAATTTTTAAAACTACTCCTTCCCAAGCAGAATCTCAAGAATGAAATTAAAAAACTACAAGAAATGTGCCAGATTTATACAAGTCTTCAGAGCAATTGTCCAAAAGACCAAAAGCATTGCTGTAATTTCTCTAAAATAGAACCAGTAACCTTTGGGATATTTCTTTCATCTAATCAACTGAAAATATTAACAATTTCACATGTTCAGTGTTCCTGCTATATTAAAAAAAAAAAAAAAAAAAAAAAAAAAAGTGAACATAGTTTGAAAAAGCGTCTATTTAAAGCCTGCTGTACTGCTCACTCTCTACTGCATTGGACAGAAGTGCACAGGCAGAGTAGCAAGCATAGTCAAGAAATAACTGAAGATAAGCAGGATTGGTTTCTCAGAAATGATGGCAGAGGTGAAACACTACACAAGACATCAAGAGGTTGAAATTCTAGTCTTCATTCCATCACTGATTTTCTATATGGCTAGTCACAGCATTTCCCTTACCTTTAATTTCCAAACCTTGAACAGCCTTTGTAATGCACCCTATCTTCTCCCTCCTGTGCCTACCTATTCTCACAACATCACGCATGCAATCCTCCCTCTGCCACCCAGAAAGAAAAGGTGCATTTCTGTACAGCTGTAAACAAACAAACAAAATAAATAAAAAAACATGAATGTTTTCACAGACTATTTGGAGAAGAGTGAACAGAGATTTTCGCAGTTAGCTTATACCAGTTTTGAATGAGTTCACCTTTCCCCACCTTTTATTTGATTGCTTGCAAGAATTGTTTCAATTTTATAAAGATGACTTTCATAAGCTAAAATACCATTTATCATCCTAGTGAAAAGTATATGACCATATGGCATATAGCTCGTGTATACTATTGATTAAGTGTCTCACTACCAAGTTATGTTGTCAAGACCTGCTGAGGTTGCCAGGTACTCCTTGTGAAGTTTTTTGTAAACACATTTACCACCCACAGTTAAAAAAAAAAAAAAAAAAAAAAAAAAAAAAAAAAAAAAAGTTACCTATTTACTTGCTTAATATTATATAGTTCCAAACATCATCTGATCTATTAGCTAAATATTTATAAATAGAATAATAAAACAGTGGACTCTAGCAAGAGCAACAGTTTAACTAACACTCCACTCTCCTGCATATAACCAAAATCCTGCCATCCTATGCAAGATGATTTCTTGTCCATTCTGGGAGTAAAAGGACACTGATGTCCCTTTGATGTCCCCTTAGTTCTTTACATAAGTCCTCAGGATATGTGATAGTTCATCATTTATACAGGAATTATTTTCATTTACTGAAGGGCAGGATTATGTCTTTGGATGCAGTGATCCTCTTTCAGTGCCTTTTATTACCACAGAACTATAAAGCTGGAAGGGAGGTCACCTAGCCCTTGCCTTCTCTTTTTTAATCTAAAAGGATCCTAGTTCATAAAATCGTTCTTCAGAGTTCATGTTTTCTAGACCTCTGACTGGTCTCAACTGTTTCTTACATCTCTGCTCCAAAAGCTGCATTCCCAGTTGTTCCATTTTACTGAAAGAGAATTGCTTCTAAGGCAAAATAAAGTTTATTATTTAACTTTCCCTTTCCTTTTACATGTATGTGTGTGTGTGTATTTGACCAACAGTGGTAAATCCAACTATAGTAAAGATTTTTTCTAGTTCCAATGTTAAGCATGTTCCCTTTTGTGTATACATAATTTACTAGCACATAGTTGTGCAACACACTTTAGCATTCATAAACACTACTTCATTTTGTGAATCATGTTAAATTACGTTTTTTTCATGATTTTAATGTGCATTCCTTCACTGTGGACTGGAATTCCCCTGATATAAAGCACTTTGCAAAGTGATTTTTCTGTGTTACCACATGCACTAAAGATGAAGAAATGGAGTAATATAATTTTTACCACTGGATAACTGAGATAAATCTTTCCTTATGACTCGTTTAAGAGAGCAATGCACTAAATCAGTACATTTCCATTATTTTCATAAAATTAATATGGTAATCAGTCCTGGAATCATCATAACATCCTAAAACATAAGCACAAATTAAGACATTATGATTGACTGTGATCATTTCTATGCAAATGCTTTTCAGTTCTTCCTGTTGTTTGCATTATTTTCTTTATATAATGTTACCTTGAAATGTATTTGAAAGCACACCTCTTAAAAGGTACTCAATATCTAATGACTCTGTAAGCTTCTTGGTTTAGTGAGCATTGAACTCTCAGTCCTGCTGGTCTTGGTGTTAACTACAACACTAAGTACAGGTGAAATACTTACTGTTCTCTGCATCACCCCTCAGCTGAATGCATTGTTCCTTTATTGTAGGTCTCCCTGACGAATTCTGAAGCACAAACTATACAACTACATGTTCTAGTGCTCGTTTGGAACTATCTTGGGTGATAAGAGAATATCACAAAATACTCCAGACAAGTTCTTGCAAATCTAGATTAAGGTCAGTAAGATTCTGGCATTTTCTAACTCTGTTCCTTTGACAGAGACCTAGTTCTTCTGAAGCATACATGACTTCTTTAAGAAAGGGATGCATTAGGTAGAGCAACAAAGTAAAAGCACAGACATCGAGAATCCCTCAAGCTGCATCACAGAAGGATATGACTGTAGTAGTGGGCTTTTCCAAGTTATTTTCAAAAGCTAAATGACATCCTGGAAGCATAAGTACTAAAACTGGTGTTATGTCTTCCAAAAAGACAGCACAGCAGATCATACTTCTGATTTTCATCCTGGGGTCTCAATGCACATCATCCTGGTGACACATAGTGACACATTAGCACATGGAGCTAATGTCTGTCTCAGATTCAGCACTGATTGTAGCAGTTACTATCTAGTTGGCCACTGAATTTAGGATTCACTTTAATTTTTCTTGGAGGGTAGGTCAAAAGAAAAGAAAACAAAACATAACTGGAACAAGTAAGTGAAGCACCTAGGCTTAACCAGACTTTGGGGACAAATGCCACTTACTTCTAGAAATGGTTCTTCCACAGAGTAGCACATATTCAATGCACTGCAGAAGTTCACACTGCTTCCTGATGCTCTTTCCATTCTTTTTTTGCTGAAGGAATTCTGCCTCTAAAGCTTTAAAAGATTTTCAGCTTCATTTTTAATCAAAATAGCAGAAAAAAGAATCCATCATCAGTGTGGAAAGTTTATCTTCTCCTTCTTTTTCAAAGTCACCTTTTAGCCTGGAGGAAAAAAAAAAAAAAAAAAAAAAAAAAAAAAAAAAGAGCATTGAGCTACTTCATCTCCCATAATTAGATTACAATGAAAAATGTGTAGCAAGCCCAATGGTGGTGATTATTTTATTACACGTTATAAAAAATGCCAAAGGTTTTGTGTTGTATGGGGAGAAAAAACAGTTTTTTCTAATGAAAAAAGTATCTCAGAAGAACCCCTGTAATGAAATTATTCCTGCAAGTCTGAATAATTCTGCTGTTTGTACAGCAGGTTTTCAACAATGGGAGGTCTGTTCATTTTTCTTAGATTAAAAGGTGTGAACTTGTTATGAACTTCTTTCTAACAGAGGAGGAAAAAATACCAAGGTGAGATATTAAAAATGCAACCTACTGGTTTAATGATGAAAATTGAATCTTCTCAAGACAGCTTTTTCTCCTCTAGACTGATTTTCTTCTGTTTCTGCCAGTGATCTTCTGTCATCTTGAATCAGGATTCTGGTACCTAACAAGCCAGTATGTTAGGTATGGGCATCGAATATGGGTATTTCATTGGGTTTGGAACCAGGAATCTAACACTGAGCTTTAATGAATAGCATAAAGTATCCACTTTCAGTGCAGTTTACAGGAAATTCTTTTTAACAAAGTACCAGTTGAGTTGGGCTTGTCCCTTCTAACCACTGGAGAATAAATGTTCAGCACAAGGACATCTGCAACACCAAGCATTGAGCAAATTTGCTCATTTATCCCTTCATGATTCTCTGAACCTGTATTTTCACATCTGCTGTGTCAGCAGTTTTGGAAGCAGTAGCGTGGAACAAAGCCTGGCTTGATCATGAGGCTCAGAACTATGCTGCAAGAAGAGGGAGGGGGAAAAAGACGAAGAGAAGAAAAAAGAAAGTGTAATTCAGAAGATGGCTGAACTATCTTCAGTAAAAGAAGTGCTACAACCCTTCAGAAACCTAAAGACTGCCTGTCGTGACACATAGCCTTTTTTTGTACAGATCTTATATTCTTGCTTTAGCACTGGACAAACTCCTTTCAGATACAAAAACAGTCACACATTTTCTAAGTTACTGGGAAATAACCCAAGAGAGATTATAAACAATGTAATCTGAGAAGTTGGCTTGATGCCTCTGCAAAGGCTTTGATAGTGCCTCTTGGCTCACACCAACATTTTGAAAACAGTTACACATATTTTACTGGTAGCAATGTTTTTCCATGGTTCTGCAATCCCAGCATGGGAACATAAAAGTAACTGTCTCTTTCAAGGCATAAAACAGAAAGGAGCAACCAGAAACTGTGTACAGCAGAGGGGAGGAGGAAGAACTGCAGTCTCAACCTCTGAGCATGATCAGAGATAGGGACCTGCACTCAGAGGTTTTAGTATCTTCTCTAGCTCTGCATTTTTCTTGAACAGAGAAGGGCAAGAAATCCCTGTTCTGAACAGCTGTGAAGTTACCTGTTTAAATTAACTGTAAATGAAGGAGTCCAGAAGGCTGGAGCTCTGTAAAGGAATGCGCACACAATATGGGAATCTGATAGATGAAGACTGACCTGGGGCTGGGAGCAAAGTGGTGTTTCCTAGATTTTAGACCCAAAAATCCTCATAACGATTCAGGTTATTAGGGCTTGAATTTAGGGGAAAGAAGACTACAATGAAGTCTGAACCTGGCCCATAAGCAGATACTTGCTACTTAGTATGCAAAGAACTTAGCAATTTCTTTAACTTGTGTCCAATTAAGATGAAATAAAATTCATAATATGTTTAAACGCTTTTTCTAAATTGGACCTTTATAACCTTTTTTTGGAAACTCATAAGGAATATCTACAACAGTTGAGACTTTACTGTAGCATTTTTCCATATTTCAGTATGGTCACACAGTTACAAAGATCTCATAACGCAGTCTTTGTCTACTTTTAAAAATTAATGCTCCCTGTGGGAGCTTTGCTAATAGTCAGAAGTTAATTGGTTTACAATGCTTTTTTCTCCAATCAAGACCATTTCTAGCAACTTACTGGACTTCAGCAGTAACAAATCATTCACCCCAGCAGTGAGAGTGATTACCCAAAGCAGAGCTAGGGAAGGTTTCCCTCCAACAGAGTCCAAATTGTGGAGTTTGTGCTGCACGTCACCCTTATGTATAAGAAAAACTGAAGTAAATCAATATTTTCACTTACTTAGATTTCTGAATTCAGCTACTGATTCACTTTCCTTGTTCTTGTCAGATGCATTCTGCTCAGAAAACAAAAAAAAAAAAAAAAAAAAAAAAAAAAACAGTTGACTTAATTCTGGTCCATGTGAAGGGGACATTTTTAAGTAGCTGGATAAAAACAATAAATTAGGTCTTTTTTTCCCCTCTCCCCTTAGCCTACAGATAGGCAGTTCTTTTTAGAATAGCTTGTCCTGGGTTTTACATAGCAAAATGCTTGAAAACTCTGACCTACTAGCTCACCACAGTAACTACGAATTTTTTATTGACTTCAGTGGCCTTTGGATCAGAGTCTGCGTTAAACTGTGGCTTTGTGTTTTAAGACAAATAAGAAAACAGAATTTAAAGGGACACGTTGTTTCAAACAGACTTGTTCAATTCCTTAGCAACAATTTAAGAAGTCACAAGGGAAATGAGTTTTTATGGTCTCATCATTTCTTTGATGTAAAAGTGCACACTCCATCTTTCTGGCATTTCGTTCAGCAGCCTAGCACGAGAAAAAAAGAGCCCCACTGTGCATAAAGAGAATAAAATATGTTCAAGAAGAAACAGGAAAAGAGATTCAGGTTAATACGAAGGTCAACCTCTTTCTGTGTTTCAAATCTGCACTTTGCTGAGATCTTAAAGAGAAATAAAAAAAAAAAAAAAAAAAAAAAAAAAAAAACAGCTTTAATCTTCCGTGCTGTCATCCTTTAGCTGGAGAACTAAAATCCAAACAGAAATGTTTTGGCTCATGTCAGAGTTGTGAATTGCTGGTAAATTTTCAAATTATCTGTCCCGGAAATACTGGACCTGACATACCGCACTTTATATTAATAAATTAAATAAAAGTGCCTCATTAAAGGTATCAGCTATCTCCACAGAAATCCCCAGACCACTTTCCCTTTCTCCTCCCATTGTGCTACACAGTGGGAGGCATGGGGCATGTTTGATCCCTGTCACCCCCACAGATTTGGGCTGGAGAAGCCAGCCCACCTCCTGGCTGCCTTCTACCACACCTCTGGACCAAATCCCAGGAACCAGACATGGTCTGGTGTGGTCCCACAGCTGACAGACTTCAGAGCCCTCCTCCCCCTCAGTGTGTGCTGGCTGCCTTGCTCTGGCCACAGGATAAAGGTAGTGGGACCTGCAGACCCCTGGGTTGATTTTTTTTTTTTTGTATTTGTTGGGTTTGTTTGTTTTCTGTTTTTTTGTTTTGTTTTGTTTTGTTTTGTTTTGTTTTTTCTTGGTTTATCTTTTTTCCTTTTCTTAAAAAAAAAAAACAAACAAAAAAAAAAACAGAAAACAGAACCAAGTACAAGAAGATACTATTGAGAGAGAGCATGACCTGACAGGACTGCTGTAGAAATACTTCATCAGCTACTTTGAGATTTAACTCAAAATGTTTTTTTAATGCCAATATTTTATTCATCCCCACAATTACCTCTTCTGTGCAGGAGAACTGCTAGACAATTACAGTGCCTGCTATTTATAACCTATCAAAGGTAAAAGTCAGTTCTCTCAATCACATAGAGCTGGTTTGTTTCACCACTAGTGGTAGAAAGAGTGAGAATGATCTCTTCTGCCTAGCTGTATTTTTTTCCACCTTAAAAAAGAATTAATATATAAAAAAAAGAAGAGACTGATTAAAAAAAATAACACCCACATCTATCTTCCAAGTATCGTACTATGTGGGCTGTATTGCATTAGATAAAAAAAAAAAGAAAAAAGGATGAGGAAAAAGGTTTTCACACAGACATAAGAATTTCCCCATTAGTGAAAACTCTGAACTTGGAAATGATAATTGAAAGTATAGGAAAAAAAATGAGTAAGTGTTACCTGCAATACTATTTAATAACTAAATGCTAATAAATGTAATAAATCATAGGAAGCTGCTTGGCAGTTTCTCAGAGACATGACAATAAAAAATAGTATTCCATGATTTCTTTCTGCTCTGTGCCCACACAGTGTTATTTTTCTGTTTCTATTCTTGTATAATCATCTTCAAAAATTCAGAGCCTCCAATTTTGATCTTGCATCTTTTTTCTTGCAATATTATCTTCTGTTATACTTCCCCAAAAGACAAAATTCTCTATTTTTTCATTTTTTACTGGGGTGCGGGAAGGATAGTCTGCAATTAACAAATTTTCTGCAAGTAAAAGCACAGGCTAGGGCATCCCCAGGAAGGAGAAAGCCTGAGTTCATATGATGCTTCTATTTTCCAACACATGGGAACAGGTGTAGGATGGAATAGAAACAACTTGAAATGGACCTGGAAAGGTGGTGAGAACAACTGTGGCTGCCTCTACTCCACAACCATCACCCCAAACAACTCATCAGAGTTCAGTGAAAAAGATGACAATGAGAATCACTACCTGCATGCTGAACACCAAACGAATAGGAGTGACAACATACAGCCACAACATTTTATGAAATCATTACTACAGGAACAGTGGATGATAGATTCTTTTCTCTTGTGTTTAGGCAAAATAACCAAGAGAATTTGTCTTACACTGATTTAGATGTAAAACGTGTTTCATTTAGCATGCCTAAAGCCAACTGTGTACTTTGTGTGAGTACACAGCTCAGTGCTGTGTTATGTTGGTCTTGGAGTTTCACTCCAAACTCCTTTGGAGTTTCATTCTGTTGGCTTTGATTTTCTTTGTTCAAAATGGTGGTGGTTTAATTGGGACTTCACCAGTTCAGGTATTAGATGGGAAGATGCTCCCTGTTTGGCACCATCCTAGCAGAAAGGTTAGGTAAATGCACCACCAGCTGCAGTGATTTTTAGAAGAAGGAATAAGTAAAGTCACAGGTTGAGATAAAGAGCAGCATGAGATTACAGCATCGGAAAGAAATCTGTTTGGAATAGAAAACAAGGAATAAATATTTTTCTCTCCACCGTGAATAAACTTTACATTTCAATCTTCTGGTTTAGTGCCTTTAGCTATCATTTGAGGCTTCTTGTTCTGCTGAATATTTTTGCATCAGAATTCTGCAGCCTAATGTCTTTTCAGTATCAATTTAAAGTTTTCCTTCAGCCTTTCATCCTTTAGTAACAAGCGTAGACACAAACATATCTGTTCAGCTTCTCCTTCCTCAGTAGCTCAAGTGCAATTTATACTTTTGTTTATTCAATTACCTGCCCCTCCAGCATATTTAAATGATGTAGCTGACTGGATTCATTGTGAGGAATGTTGAAACTATTTCTAAGTGGAATGTTTACTCAGTGATTAGAGAAAAGCTTTCTAATATTTGTACACAAAATGTTCTCATGTGAAGGTGGCACGTTTAAGCTTTGAAGAGATTATAATCATGTATCATATCCCTCTAGTTAAAAAATTCATGGGTGCTCTACAAAAAGATCAGGAACTAGTATTTCTCTGTAGCTTTGTTACTTTAATTAAATGCATTGCGTGAGGGTGTGCAGGGGGTATGAAGAATACGGCCTTTATAATGCAGGCAGTACCCTGCAAATCGTAGACACCTGAACTGATGTGAATAATGGACTTGTAAGTGGCTGCAGGATCTGCTGCCTCATCCCGGGAATTGCACCGCTATTGATTTCCTGCCCACGAACCCGTCTCCCCTGCCCTTCAACCCACCTCCACAGCGACTGCACTCATGAAGTATTTCCAATTGAGAGCACCTCAAGAGCAGACTGAAACTGCAAAGCTCCACTAATATGCAAACATCTGCTGACTGTTCTGTGTATTTATTTTTTTTCCACTAAAGAAAAATGCTTTTTAGGATAGCTGTTTTCCACGTTCTCACTCTCTTCTGCCTTTGGACATTGCAGGGAAGGTAGAGATTCATTAGGCATCCTGACAGGTTCTTGCTCTACCACAGACAGAATGTTTCATGGACCTTTTTTTGCATCGATTTCTGGCCAAGTTTTGTAGAAGGTCATTGCAAACTACCCCTTTGCTATTACATCACTACGAATTGTGATGGTTTTGGCCCACTTGAGAAAGGCAGTATCATGCCAAATGTTGGGAAAAGTGTGTTTATACAGAGATTATGCTTATCAACAACACAGGGAATGCCAAAATTCCTCCTTTATAAAAATAAAGAAGATATCCTGAAAATGAATGACTACAGTCAACAATGCAAAAGCAGCAACCACTGAAAAGAATTCCTGAAATGTCCTGTTTATAGTACATGGAATAGTATAGGCATTGTTTCTACCAAGCAGGTAATAGGTATTTTGATACTTGGTAAGAAGAGAAATTGTCAATAGCCTATATACATAAACTGTAATTCCACAGTGCTTGAATAATGTTGATAAAAGCTTGAGATGTAACTGACAGAGGAGGAAGAAAATCCTCATCTTAAAAGTGAAGATGATACAAAACTAAAGAACAATATTTTTCAAATAGTAATGCTGCTGCATACCACCCTTTTTAGAATTCAGTACAAAACATCTACCAGATTATTTAGGAAGACATATCTTGTCTTAGAAATATTTATTGTGGGAAAAACAAATTAAACAGCTGTCAATCCCCTGAATTACTGTCAAACAAACTGCACTATAAATGAGAACGATGTGATTGCCAAACCAGTTACAGTAAAATGGTCTTTAAAATACGGTATGAAAGAGGAAAAAAAAAAATGCTATTATAAGATAAATAAGAATCATAAGATTCTTAAGGATCAGAAGGATCATAAGAAGTGAGGAAATATTGACTACCATAAACACTTACCCTTCTCTGGTCTTTTTGCTTTTTCTGTCATCCCTCTTCTCCCTAATAGCTGAAGAAAATGGGAAGTACCTTAACCTTACCATTTGCTCCTGTAGCAGGAATCTTGTCCACATTAAGCTCTGTGGTGAAGAGTTAGTTGCATTTATTGCAAAATTAAATAGTGTCGTTGATCTGCCTGCACACTGGTTATTCTTAACAGGTGGTTGTCAGCAATCCTCATGCCTTGCCTCCCTTTTAACTTCTTCCCTTTCTGGTAGCATACTGCTCAAATTCGTTCTCATGAGCGGGCATGGGATGCCTGGAGATATAAAGGACGTGGAAGGGAGGGAAAGAGGTGAGAAGCT